GAACTCCAGAACAAAAGTACAAGAAGACGATGTTGTGACTTCCGAGGTTCGTTGTGACCTCCAAAATGCGAAGGTCATGAGAAATTCATTTGTTTTAAAGATTTTTGACTGTTCAAATTATACATATATTTTGCTTTGAAAAAAGCACGGATTTCTATATAATATCCATGATAAAATAACGCAGAGTAAACTTATTTCAGATTTTTGAGCGTGCACAAATAATTAAACAGGATTAACGACTTAATGTATTGCAAGTGATCTTATATGTGACGTGGGCATTATAAGGGATAAGGGCAATTATTTAGGGAGTCAAATTTTTCTTTTGACGTGCAACATAAACCTTTCCTCAGAACAAAAGATAAAGGATGTCTACTGGTCCAGAGTGCTTCAACCTTATAGTTACGCAACTGATAGCACTGCATTGAGCAACTAATTTAGCGTGTGATGCTATTGTTCTGAATTTCAAGATTCAAGAAAATTGAACAAGATATTGTGATATTTAGTAAAAAAATGTTGACTTTTATCAAAACTTTTTTGGTACTCGAATGGAATCGAACATTGGTCTAAAATAGAAAACTCAAATCTGATTTTTAATTTTTAATAAATTATTTTTCATTGAAATGAAAATCAATAATACAATAATGTTAGTGTCAATACTACAATTATATTTTTTTTTAAAGAAACCCTTCGGAAAGGAATCCCACAATTTATCCTAAAATAAACGGGCCTATTTTAAAATAAAAAAAGTTATAATTCTAATTATCATTCTTTATGATAAGTAAAATATCATTATTACATTGTTACTTTTATTAAACTTTCTTATATACATAGAATAATAAGCCTTAATATATACAAATATTACAAATTAATATTTTAAATTCAATTTTTTTATTTATTTTTATTAGAAAAATAATACAAATATTTAATCACTGCTACACGATAAATAAAAAATAAAAAGATTAAATTGTATAAAAGAAAAAATAAAATGAAAAAAAATTGATCCTTAATTGAGTGTACGCAACAAATTAAGTACGTATTATTGTAAGATTGAAATCAACAAAATAAAATTCTAGTTTTACTCAAATAAATGTGTACTTATTACACATTAAAAGGGTTCTTATACTAAATTTCAAAACCCGAAATATGATTATTAACCAAAAGGATTTTAGAAACCGCATTCATAATACATTTCACATTCCGGATTTTCAAATTGTTCTCATCACTAATTACTATCAGTTGCCTAATGCGTATCATATACCTGTCCAATCAAAATCATTTCATTTCAAATCAATTAGAATAGTATCCGATTATCGTTTTTTTCATTTTCTAAACATTATTATAATATTAAATATTCCTCACACGAGTAATATTTGCATAATTTGTATTTGAATATGTATACATAATTTTAACAACGTAAAACTATGTTTTTTCTGCCGCAGAAAAACTGTAAACCTAAATCAAAAATATTAATATCCTAAAATAATATATTTAACATCAGATATTCATATTTCAAGTTTTCATATTTTCCATATATGGAAACTTTAACAGAACTATATTGCTACACTCACATTAATATTTATTGTCACATTTTTCCCGTATTCGATTCGTACGTGCGCTACATTTCTCAAGGATTATTATTATTATTAATATAACATATTATAATAATATTTTCCCTCTTCCTATCTCTCACTCTACCACTCCACACCTCTGCTGTAATACCAAACGATTGATATTCGTATGTAATCCAATATCCCGATCGTTCCATATGCATCTCAACCGACCGGAAAGAGTATACAATATTTTAAGCAAACAAATATAAACAGCCATCATCAACAACAGACGAGCATATTGCGGTCCCATATGAGGCAACTAAATACTTAGCCCGCAAGCTCGTTATAAATATGTTCTGCAAGTTAATTCCTTTAAAACCATTAAAGTGCACACGCGTTCACGTCCTGAATATACAATTTAAATATACGTCCGTAAATTATGTTTCACGATTATTTTAATACTCAGACCACGGTAATATACAATGTGGTTCGTGTTATACTTATATTATACTGTCTTAGGGTGTTTGAAATAATTTAATACGTATAATTGTCGTATTAACTGCAGTTTCTTTATCACTGTACACAGTGACGCAGTCAGGATTTTTAAACGGGAGGGATAAACACTTTTTTGGGAAGGTTAAGTTAGAGAGCACGTGAGAATTCACCCCCTCTCCTACCTCCCACCAAATTTATAAATGTATTTCCAACATTTTAAAATAGTTTTAATAATATTTATTAAAATATTAATAATAATAATTATAAGGTATCGGTGGTCAGCTGTGGTACCATCACCACGACATTATATGGTATAAAATTTATAGTGATTATAAAAATTGTGTGTTGGACGAAATTTGCGTCAACCTTCATGGTAACCACCAAAAATGTGTGACAATCACTATAGAATTAACACGCTTATGTACCAAAAACAAACATCCGTTATTCGTTAACATTTAGTTAGTACCAACGTTTTAAAATACCAAATAGTATATGTGTATGTACTGTACTAGTACAGTCCATACACATAAACATGACCCACGAGGAGATGGGGACAATTGCTCTCTTAGGTTTCCCCCTTGGCTACGCCCTGGTAGTACACTGCTGTAGTAGCGCAATGCTTGAAAATTTTAATACAAAAAATAAAAATAATGTGATCTTAGCGTGCGAAGGTGATGAATGCGTGTCGGAGGATAGGTAGCGTTATACATGGTGTTTTATCAATAGATATTTTTTGAATTTTATTTTGTTATGATTTATCATAACAAGTCCTAACGTCAGAAAATATTGCGCATGGATATTCCTTTCGGTGAAAATTAAAAGATTAATTTAAAGATGAAATCGCACGGAAATAATAAGTACCGATTTCTGGAGTTACGCGTTTAATTTATGTACATACTACGCATATCATATGAGGCATGTTTATTACGTGTATCGAATATAATTATTTACACGTTTTTAAAGTGATTTTAAAATAAAGTGTTGTTCAACGGACGTGCATCCAGAACCGTTTACGTACTAAGCCTCCCCTTGGCCATCCGTCCTCGTTCGAAAGAACCGCGGTGTATCGGCGATCGTTTGGAAATCAACACGCGCAGTGAGTTGTCCGTAAAGCCAAACTGAATAAATTTAATTACTCGCGGCATAACATCGACCGACAATTAGTTTTCTTCGTATGCCGCAGTTAGTACGTATTCTACACGTGTGTGCTTATCTGGCGCGCGCTCGGTTAATTTAACGTCGTTACAGGGGTCGTACCTCGGGGCGATATTTCACCACGTGCAGGTACACAACGTGCGCGTGTATTATAATATTCTACATTTTTAAATTCAAGTGCGATAGAACCACGGTACGGTTATAGTCGTCCGGTCGAAGGGGGTGGGGAGGAGAGTAGAAATTGTGAAGAACCGCGTCGTAAAATCGAGCGGAAAAAGGAAAAAAACGGGGGTGAAAAAAAAAATGACCGTTCCAAAAAGATAAATGAACCTCGGGTGAAATGTCAAGAGTTCAGTAGTGCCTCACGTGTGCGATAATAGTGCGATCGCTCGGCATAAAGGTCAATACGACGTTGTATGCCCTTCGGCGTGCGGTGTACAAACATAAATATTTTTTATGTTTGTTTGAATCGTGTTATTAGTGTATTATTGCTGCAAGCGGGCACCGCGGCGAAACGGGAGCCGTCTTCGTCCCATCGCGTCAAATGCGTTGCTCGCGGATCGGTCGCACGTTTCGCGACACTGTGAAAGCGAACAATTTGATAATAAAATCGACTTCGATCGGTGCATCGTTTATCATTACTATTATCGTTGTTATTGTAATAATACCGCACGTGCGTGCGATGCTTTTTTGATGTAGTGCTTGCTCGTAAGCGTACACAAACGAAAGCCGTGACTAGTAGTTTAATTTTAAGAGGATATAATTGAAAAAATTATGTACCGATGTGTACACTATGAGCGCTAACCTTTGTCCAACAACATGTCGGCCCTTCAAAAAAAAAAAAAAAAAATTCGTTAAACGGAAATACAAAATGTACAAGCGAATAAAATAATAAAAATATGTAGTTCCAGCTGCTTTACACGACCTCATCTCGAAGTTTTTTTTAACTACTTTAGATTAGCGTGAACACTATATCAAAATAAAAAAAAAAATTAAAAATAATTAGTGCTTTAATTAAGTAATTAAATGCATATACATTCAAATGTTATTTATTTTTATTTATTTATACCATACTAATTATTTGCATTTACTTTAAATCAACGTACTGTTGAAAAAAAAAATAAAATATTTCCTAGGTAATCAAATAGTGAAAAAATGTATACATTCAGCTCAGGGCCCAAAACTGTTTCAACCTTTAAAAAATATGACTTCCGAAAACCTATTTCTTAGTCCCCCAATACGTGTATAGTATAAAGTAATAGGTACATTCCCTATATATTTCAAATAAATCGGTATAGTAGTAATGGCTTTACACAGATCAGTGAGTGAGTTATATTGGAATTATATAATATAGTATAATAATAACGTAGAACACTATTGATAATAACACTATTGTACAGTTTTATACGGGCTTTTTAGCTACTGGTATAAAACTATAACTTAGAACTGTACAATAGTACAGTTATAAACAATAAATAATGCTTGTAGGCTAGACATATTGTAGTTCACGATGAACAGTGTCGAAAACATCTATTGCGTTTCTGAAACTTTTTAGCCATAATTTTCCGAAATAAAAATACATATTACCTATATATAGTGGCGTATTTTCAATTTTTTTTTTTGGGGGGGGGGGGGTCCACAGTTTATACATAATTAATAAAAACTATATATTATATTTATTTATTTATTAAATACGGGCTACGCCCAAAGTACAGTAATTGGATTTAGTATAGTAGTAGTCTAATAGTATATATAATATATATAGAATCAGTAAAAGTGAAACAGAATTAGGTGGGTAAATTACGAGTATAATAAAATAGAAGAGTGGTTATTAGCTAGACGCATTAGTCTGTCTATTGGGTTATTTTGACTGTAATTAGTAGATCGCTTAGGAATAGAAACCGGAGCAGTAGAACGGGTAGGACGAGGAAGGACGCAAAAGTTTATAAGGGAGAGGAGTGATGGAGCATCAGAAATACCACCGATAAGATTTTGAAGGAACTTAAAGTTGCTATTTAATCTTCTATCAGCCAGAGTTAGTAGGTTAAGTTCATGGAGAACTGGAGAATAATCGTGTAAGGAGTGGGGAATACCTAGTACATAACCGGCGTAGAATAGAAAACGCCTTTGTACTCGTTCAATGGTCGCGGAGTCTGAGGCCGTGTGGGGGTCCCATAAGACAGATCCGTACTCAAGCTGAGACTGTATTAGAGAGCAATAAAGGGCTTTAATAGAAGAGGTGAGGTTAAAGTCGGATGATATCAGTTTTATAAATCCCAGGGTTTTATAAGCCTTACAGCTTATTGATTGAATGTAAGAAGGGTAGTTGAGGTCATATGACAAGAAAATATACAGGTCTTTTTTGTGGCTAACTGATGGTATAGGTATATTGTTTATTAAGTAGGCGTGGTTAATTGAAGAACGACGGCGAATGAATGACATTGATTGGCATTTACCGACATTAAAAAACAAGCCAATAGATTCAAACCATTTCACTAGGGAATTAAGCTCATCTTGGAGTAAACGACAGTCAGAGACGTTGGTTATTCGACGGTAGATTTTTAAGTCATTCGCGAACGCGAGAATATTACAAGATGGAATTATTTCTTTAATACCGTTGATAAATAGTGCAAATAGAAGAGGAGAAAGGTGTCCACCATGGGGAACCCCATATAGGGATAGGTGAGACTATAGATTTATAACCATTGATTTTAACCAATTGAAATCTTCCGAGTAGGTAGGATCTGAACCATGATAACAATGGATCTCCAAACCCAGATTTGCGGAGTACTCGGAGAAGGATGTTGTGGTCAACTCTGTCAAAGGCTTTAATGAAGTCCATAAATATAACATCAACTTGGCATTTGTTTTCAAAAGCTTCAATGATGAAGTTATTTAAGACCAACAAATTCATTACAGATGATCGGTCTGGTCTAAAGCCATATTGCTCGTCAATGAGAATAAGGATATTATTAAGAACAAGTTTCTCAAATAGTTTGGTAATATGGCTTAGAATCAGGGTTGGACTAGCTTTATAGCTCGGCCCGGGCAAAATAATTTCGAACGGCCTCAATGGAACTTTATAAGTAGGTAGGCACCTGATCAAATTATTGTTTAACTGAAAATGTATCTTGGTAACTCAAAAAACAATATTCACACAAGTACATTTGAATATTTTCATATTTAATGTTATACCTTAAATAAATATAGTTTACGCATAATATATCTTATCTATAATATTGATATAATGACCTACCTATTAAGATAAATATTACACCATAAAAAATGATTTGACTTAAATATGTTCATACATTTAATTTTAATTCAGTTAGAACAGTGGGGTCGGCAACTAATGTCTTTTATGCGGCCTACAGTAAATTTCAAAACTAGCAAATGTCATTGAATATCATATACATTTTTTATATTATCTGGCTCTAGAATCATTTTTAATTTGTGAATGTGATCCAAAGGTCCATTAAGGTTGGAAACTAGTAACAGACTTATTATTGACTGAACGTCAAAACTATTAAAATGTTTTTGAATAAAAGTTTTAAATAAAATAAATCTTACAAAAATTATTATTATCGAAAAACAATTTCGTTATCGCATGAAAATGTCTACCCATACCATGGTCTTAGAAAATTAATCTTCTAAGACCATAACCCATACCAATATTTTATTTTAATAAAATGTTGTTTGAACAAACGCGAACAATATTTCGTATGATTAACATATTGTACACATCTTTTGTACTCAAATTTCCTACAATTTTTCTATTTATAAATATTCTGATGAATTCATTGTTATCAATTGGCCTATCGCGACATTAAAAATGTTAAATTTTCAAACTCCGAGTTACCTAATCCTGTGTTACCGCATCCATTAGTAATGTCATGTTACAAGACGATATTTTTTATTTTATTTTACGAATAGAAGATTGACGTATTAAATTAAAAACAAAAAAATCTAAGTAATTTTATTCAACCAAAATTACAGCAGCCCACCGGGGCATGCCCCGGTGCCCCGGTGGCCTAGTCCAACCCTGCTTAGAATAGATATGAGTCGATAGTTCTTGACGTCAGTTTTATCACCTGATTTTAGAATAGGAGTGATAGAACTTAACTTCCAAATGGACGGGAATAAATCTTCATTTAATAAACGGTTGAAAATAAGCCAAAGAGGTATAGAGAAAAAAGATTTGAGATTGAAAAGGAAAGTTCCTGTTAGACCATCTGGACCAATAGATTCTATATTTTTTAACTTATCGAAACCTAATTCGACATCGGCAATGCTTATAACACATTTGTTAGATAGGTCATAACTTAGATGAGGCAGTTTGATGTATAGCTATTAGAGAGAGTAGGGGAGTAAACTGAGTTGAAGAACTCAGAGAACAGATTGGTGATTCTAGGGGTTGTATGGCTGGAGATATTATCGAAATGGATGATGTTGGGGATGTAATTATCAGACTTTGCTGTACTAACAAACTTTCAGAAAGAACAAGGGTTATTTTTAGAATAACTTCAGTGTGAGCAATATATTCATTATAGCATTTCTTAGATTCAGATTTATATTGGGTCTTGAAGGTTGGAAAACTGGGTATAATAGTGTGGGTTACTGGTTGATTTGAAAAGGGCGTGCGCTTGCCTTTTTGCCAGGATAGTAAATTTAAGGTTTTTAGAAAACCAGGTTGGGAATTTAAACTTCATATATTTTAATACTGGGACAAAGTGCATAATGCAGTGATGGAGGGCATCATATTGGGTATTTGTGGCAAAATCAACGTCTAGTTGACTCAATGTCTCGATCCAATTAAACTTTTGTAGGTATTTTAAAATCTCTACGTAATTGGCTTTGGAGAAATTATAATAATTATGAGAAGCATTAATAGGAGGCATTTCCATAAATTGTGGGAAAACTATGTCCAACGCTGGGTGGAATGGGTCACACGGAATTGCAGTGATAGAAGATTTATCAATAAGGATTGTATTATTATTAGAGAAAACTAGATATAGTAGCTTACCTAAATAGTTGGATAAGTGGTTTAGTTGAAAAAAGTTGAAGAATGCAAATGACTCAGGAATACAGTGGTATAATAATATATATATTGTAATAGTTACGTCCTTATGCAGTTTTTGGAGGAAGTTGAACTAAATATATAATGTAATAATCGTATAGTCTTATGTAATATTATATATATATATATACCTATATATTGTATTTAGCACTATATATTATAAAGTATTGTTATAAAATAAATTTCAGTCGTCTCGATTTTTCGTCAACTCCTGTATCACTTCATCAAAAGTAATTTCAACATCCCTGTGAATGTTTAACATAGCCAATTCTACAAATATGTAAGAATTTTAGTTTATTTTTTATTTTTTGGAGAGGTTCTGGGGGGAGTCCAGTCACCAGTCCAGTCATCTCGTCAACTTGAAACTTTTTTTTTTTTAAACAAATATTATACTGTTACTTGCTAACGGTTCATCGCGAAGAGTCCTGAGAATCATGTTAAGCATAGAGGTTCAACTGCTCATATGATAAAAATAATATAAAAATAATGGAGCAACTGGAAATTTCGTAGTTAATTTTTTACGCTAAGGAATGATTTGAAAAAAAAAATAAAACATTAAATCTGACAAACGGATTATGTAAAATGTTTTGTATGGCGGCTTATGGTAGTTTTTGCACGTACATCAACGGAATTATTATTTTGCATGAAAATACGAAAAAAAAAATCGTTTCCATCGAAACCCGGAGTAAGTTATCCGGTTCTCGACCGGAACCTTTCAACGACTCTCGTCGTCTTTACCCGCACCCCTCATAATTTGGTGCGGGTACCACGAAGATCCACGTTCTACGCATCACCAAGAGCCGTTAACAGTACACAATTGAATTAATTGATTTTCACGCTCATCCGGAACGCGCGGGTACGTTCGCGGGAGTTGAAAAAAAAAACAATCGCAAGGGCAGGAGAATAAGAAGAAAAACCGTGGGTATCATAGCTACGTCCTGTTTACGTATACGCACTGTAGTTGTTATGGTGGGCTGATGTACACGTATAAGGTTTGGATGCGCGTATTATTCACATTCGTGTTCTTATACTATACCTAGTGACGGGGTCGTGACTATATTTGCGCAGCGGTATCCTTACACTATAGCCACGTTATGTGACCTTTAATTCCATCGCGAAAAACTCGATCGTTCGACTCGAATCGGGAACATTAGTCTTTCTCTCTCTCTCTCTCTCTCTTTCTCTTACACACATACTTTCTTTCTCTCTTTTTCTCTCCCTTCCTTCCTCTTTCTACTTTTCACCCGACGTAAGTTTCTCGATTTTCCCGAGCGTGATGACGTACCCACGCCCACACACACACACATGTAAATGTTATTCGCGAGTGCCACTTGACACATTATGCATCGCACCGTAGTATATATTTGACATGATCGTGCGTACGACGCACGGCCTGCTGTCGCTCTCGTTCGATTACCCGAAACAGGGAAATTACGGAACAAAGGGAAAAAAAAACCATTTATTATATTATTTATAACAAGTTGTTATTATTACAGTTGGCGTTATTATTTTCTCAGCCGACGGTGCGGAAACGACGAGCGACACCCTGCTGTTACCTCTTTTTCCCGGGTAGAACGTTGGATTATTAAAATGTTATTAAAAAAAAGAAACTTAGTCGTCACGTGAGGTGACGTATTAAAAAAAAAAAAAAAAACCATAGGAAATTAAAAAAATGTATTTTTCGCGTCACCACGGCTACTACCTATATGTATTAAAAAATAATTATTCATACATATAGTGTTCATCCGCATCCAATAGTAATGTATCGTTTATGTGGTGTACTAGACGTATACAATTTTCGTAACTTATAAAGAATGTCTATGAAAGGATCGAATTCAAACCGCCATCGAAATATATAACTCACCGCTTGAGCTCAATTATTTTATTGCAAAATTGTTTTTTTATTGTTTTTATTTAAATTACCATGGGAATACCAAGAAAGCGTTTAAAAACACTATTATTCCATTTTATTTTATGGGGTAAGTATAATAATGTGTAGTGCAAATGAAGGTGATAAATAAGCCCGTGTCCGAAGCACTTCCTTTCTAATATACGATTTATCATTTATAAGGTACCTATTTTAATTGTTTTTATTTATTTTTTTTTGCCGCAATTCTAGAACCCAGACAAATTACGAATTCACGTTTAATCATCTATTATTTTTATGTTGTCCAATGATATTAATAATTCGATGCCATATCGATATCTCGGATATTTTCTTAATGCTATCGATGTGGGTATAAAAAAAAAAAATAGTCAAAAATATCGTGATTTCGGAACTATATAATATATAAAGTAGCGGATTCAATAGGAAAAATAGGACATTTGTTTTCTGGGCCCTTACTTGAAAATACCTCCAGCCCCA